TCAGGACAGTTGAATTGGTTGACTGAAGTTGGTTTTGGTGGGATTCTTAATTTCTTGGCAAGGTTGGGAACTTGGGGTTTTTGTAAGTGAATAAGACCATAGCGGGCTTGAATTACCGGTATAATGTGTTTGCAGCTGTAATTGTTTTGGTTTAAGATGAAGAGTAGCAATGTTATGGAATAGATGTTTGAATGATTAAGCATAAGTAAACAGCAAATGGGATGGCGACTAACAATAGATAAAACTCATGAAGTTTGGAGAACTGGGTGAGCAATGCAGAAGGTAGGTGCAGGCATGTTGTGTTGTTCAAACGTATTAGGTATTAAGGAAGGGGGAAAAAACAAAGAAACTGAAGTTGTATTCTGTTTTAAATGTGATAAATGTATGGAAATGAAGTGTAATGCTAATGGTCTTCATTTGTGAGAAAAATGGCAAAAGAATGCAGTCAACACTGTTTCCATCTGTTGAACTTAGTTTAGGAAAAACGTTTATCATTTTTGGGTTCTAAACTTGATTAAGATTTCAGTTGGCAGACAAACAGAAGGATAAGATGTCAATTATCCTGCCAATAGGTTATTAACATCTGAGTCTAGTAGCTGGCTTTAAATTTTTTTGCTTATGATCTTCCACTTCACCTATTTATTTGTAATTAGTGCATTGCTGGGTCACAGATTAATATGGTTTATTCCTTGTTTACATGTCTTATTCACCTTGCTTTGCTCACACTCTGTCATTTGTCACTTGGTTCAATCAAGTGACTCCGCTTAAGTCTGCTGTGCCTTCTTGAGTAAATGACATGTTTCGTCATCCACAATGTAACACTGGTTAAGTTCTTTATCACCTATAGCTTTCCAGTGTGTATATATGAATGAGTTACCATTTTCTTTGAACTTGAAGAGGCATATGGATACATAGTTAGCTTAAGCTTGAGTACTTATCTCATACGGGTAAAGGAAAAATTGACCTTAATTATACGGAAGCTTTGCATTGTTTTCTTTGAAAAAAAAAACAGAAACAATGTATAGAAGATATGCAATATTTTGTACTGTAAAAAAAAAATTTATAAATATAAAAGCAATTTAACTTGAAAAGCTAACAAAATATGATTGTGCTTCTTCTATTCGCAGAGGATTAAAACATAAATTTGACCAGAAAAACAAAGAACTTAAATTATGTACCAATTTTGGTATGTAGTCGGTTTGGCAGAGAATTTGAGTTGGTTTGGTATGTAGTTAACTTATCACAGGCTGGTGGTGGTGGTGGTAAACTCTGGGCTCGGAAACTCGAGAACCAAATGCCAGCTTTAGGCTTAGAGGTGAGTTTTGGTTCCTGTGGTTCCCTAATTTATGGTTTAGGAGGATTCTATTTTCACCCTACTGAAGATGGTTCTAATTATGTCATGAAGCCTGATGATGAAGAGGATTGCACGGTTTACTTTTACGGCACCTCCAAGCCCTTCCAAGCTTGAGAACGGGTGATTCAAAAGTCAGGGGTAGTAGAATCTATGTCCTTAGGAAATGAGGTAGGCAATCCATGGGGCAAGTATTTGGATCAGTCATTTAGCCAACCATAGCGGCATCCTCTGAGTTGTAAATTTCATGTTGGTGAACCTCCCATTGAAAGATCTCTCCCTCCCTCCCTTGGATCAAAAATTTGACTCTCAGCACTACGTCCTGTTTCCTATCGGTGCTGGGGATCAAGTTGTTCTTGTGTGTTACAAATCGGAGATTGACAAAGTGTTCAAGGTTTGTCGATGATCGCGATCGGTTCATTATTATCCCTTTTGTGTGGAAGGGAATTACTTGTTCACAAATTTCGGCATCAGTATTTTTGCCTGTCGTGTATTTGACATGAGTTTATTTCAAGGACCTGCTCCTTTCTATGGTAAAGTTGAGGGATTGCCTGACCACTTTTTTCCTCCTCAATATCATGGTCATAGTCCAATGCCCTTACAGCGAATTGGACCAAATAAGTTTGCTACCCTTTGCCTCGCAACTGTGGGGCAAAAACCACCACATTGTGCTAGGTTGAGTGTGTTCACCACTTCACCCGATGAGGAGGAGCATTCTGCTGCCCCTCTTCGGGAGGGGAAGAAGGAAAATGATACTTCTTTATAGGAAGAAGATGAAGAAGGAATCTTGTTTTGTTCCCAACATTGAATTAGACAAGTCTTGAACTCGAGGTAGATGAGCATGTTCATTTTTATATTGATGCTATTGATGTAGTATTGCCTCAATCAGAAGCAGATGTGCATATGTGGTGGTCCGTGGTGAGGAAGGTTGTTTGAGTTCAGTTCTGAAATTGCACATATTCATGGTTGGCATTTGGGAAATTGATGAACTCGGATGTTTGATCATTTGTTGTTAGTGTACCAAAGGACTTCCGAATCAACCATACTGTATATACTAAACATCTTTACTAGTTTTGCTGTTTAGTATACCAAAGGAACATGGTTTTTCTGATAACAAGGAACTAGATGAGTGACTTGAGATCAAGCCTGGGGAGCATGCTAATTTCTTTATTGACCCTGTTGCTGTAGTATTTACTCAAACAGAGGTAGATGACAAGAATAAGCATGAGATGTGTAGCTACAAACAATGTATCTTAAAAAGTGCTTAACCACAGGGAATGTATAAGGATCACCTTTTGGGCTAATTAATTAGAATATTGGCAAAAAAAAAAAAGAAAAGTCGGACACTTAGGGTTCTGATAGGGGTGTGGTCTCAAACTATTGGTGCCGGGCTATGACACAATTTTTTTTTTTTTAAAAAAAGATCACTGGCTGCCGGGCTTAGTCAAAGAAAAGCCCGGCAGCCCACCTGCAAAAAGTTAAAAAAAAAAAAAAAAAAAAAGCCTGGCCTAGCTACATAAGTCGACAAAAAAAGGAAAAGGCTGGCGGAATCTGACTAAAGTTAATATGCTTCAGCATCCCGTGGCCTAGCTACATAAGCCGACCAAAAAAAAAAGGCTGGCGGAATGTGACTAAAGTGAATTTGTTTTACATTTTTTTACATACCTTGTTGTGTATGTAAAACTAAATAAGTTAATTGAAGCCGCGTTTATGTTCTGTGAGATGTTGACTGGTTGTACGATTAAATATGCTTTGCAGTTTGTCAGATCTTTGAGTATTCTAATGCTGAAGGTTCTGAAAGTTTGGATGTGAATATGTCAGCTAAGAAGAGTAGAATATCTGTAAGTACAGAGGAGAAACTTGGCAACAGTTTGGCGAAGAAAGATACGGCCGATGATTTTGGAGAACCTGGTAATAGTTGAAGTCTGGTATTTTAGTTTATATACATGCTCGGACAGATAATGCAAATTAACATGTATTACTATCTGCAAATCTACAAAGAAAATGAAGAGGGTGGGGATTTGTCTGTAAGAACAGGTAATATGAATTGTATGCATGAAACAATAAGAACAAGTTTATTAAAACAATATGTGACTATAAAAACAGGGAATGAGAAGTAAATAGAAGGAGAAGAGTAAAGAAAATACCTTATGATAGCTGCATCCCTGAGACATACTTATTTAGCCTAGTTTGACTTTGTAAAAGGCTCTAATACTGCCCATGTGCTTAAACACCAACCCCCTATCCCCGACTGGGCCTTTAGCAAAAATTATCTGTGTACCCACTTTGCTACAAATAGTTTATGTGAGAGGTATTTATCTGTGAAGGTTTTGGCTTCTTACTACAAGAGTAGAGTTCAAGGCACAATTAAAATTATTAGCAGGTAGAGAAAAGATGAAATGGAACTTCCCTTTGAAAAACTAATGAATGAATGAACAGAATGTACCCTAAAAAAGTCGTAGAAAAAATTGTGTTATTTCCATTGTCTATTCTTTCTTTCAACAGCCCCATATTGTTGTATGGTCTGAGAACTGGAGCAGAACAATCTATCATTCTTTTCTTTTTCACATTGTCTACTCTTGCTGTTTTGCATCTTTTGCATAACAAATCGGTACCATGGATTTCCACTGCCCACAAGTCTTTTTGAAATATTATAAATCATTCTCTCTTTCTCTGTCTTTTTGCAACTTAAAGTTATTCTGGAAGTTAAACATGCATGAAAAGTTAGTGTTCAAGAAAAGAATATGACTGTTTTGACGTAATCCAAACTTCTTAGAAGTATTGCAAGGACTGCAACTACTCAACATCAGGCTGTATAAAATTTTTCATTGCTGTAATAAATGGTAACTCCTCTTGTATTCATTTAGTGGTAATACTATGCATAGAAGTGCATCAGAGAGATTGTTTGCTTTTCACCTCTATGTTACTAATAATTTCCATAGCCATTGACAATTACAAATAGTTACTTCTATTTGGTCAACCAACCATGTAGTATTCTGAGGCAGCAACAATGAGCTCATGCTTGATTTTTTCTCTATTCAACCAAAAGCATAACTCAATTTATGCTTATTAAAAATTGAAAGTGACTCATTATCCAAGAAAATTAATGATGGAAAAAATTAAGATAAACTGAAAACAATAAGATCGTCCTGCTATTGACCTCATAATCACCATTTTTGAGAATGAGATGCCAAATAACACAAAAAAACAAGAAATTGAGTCCTCTTATTCTAATTCAATGTCAAGCAACAAAGTAAACATCTTCAGAATTTTCAATTTGGAAAGTTCATAACTCTGGGTCCTAAACTGTCATTATAAATAGAAATGCCCAATGAAATGACCTTTCACTGAAGGCATTGGAAAGTTCATGCCTCTGGGTCTCAACAGTTAACAGAAATATCCAATGAAATGACCTTCACTGATGTTAGGCACCATTGAAATGCATTATTAGAAAATAAAACCTGCCATCTTTTTTTAGTAGACAGAAATGCAATCTTCTGGATAATAAATAGCAAGTCTAACAATTCCTTCAGCGTACTGACATTGGTATGAGAAACTTCTGTAGTCTTCCTTGCTGTTTCTTTAAGTACAAAAAAGAATGTTTGAAAAGTTTTTTCCTGGATTTGGATGCATCAAGTTCTCTTCTGCTTTCGTAACATGAGAAATAATATAAGGTTTTATGGATAAAAGAGTAAAAGGAACAAGGACAAAAGGGCGAAATTCCTATAGGATCCTCACATCCCACTTTCATATCATATAAAGTACAAATATTTGAAAGCACATTTGTCGTCCATAAGCATTTTAGTGCAAAATTCCTCAAACTTTACAATGACTATAGTAATTCTAACTCTTTTGCTTTTACGTCTTCTGAAATAACTGTCCACAACCTGTTATGTCAGGTAAATGCACAGAAAACTCTTACTCGCTCCTTCCAGATTCAGTTAGAGATAATATAAGTGACACTGAAACAAGTAATACACTTTTGCTAGTCAAGTTGACCAGGAGCTCTTTACTCCTCTTCGCTTTCCTAAGGGGGAGGACCCTGCCATTGTTGATATTGTGCAAAACATCATTCCATTGCAGGAAAGTGGGAGTCTAAAGTCAGCACAGTAAGATTCTTACTTCTTACCTTGAATGTTCTTAGCTTTATCCAGATCTCTGTACTTAAAGCCTGTTTTATTAGCAAGAGATTGTAACACATGCATTACAATATTTGTTTTAAATAGTTGTTACATATATTTTGATTTTGGGGCATATTTGAACAAATCCTTCTTATGTTTGATCTTTTACCTCTATGTTAATTGATGTCTTCTAATTGGTATGGCGTTTGTTGTAACATGGTTATATTGTTCGACAAAAAGTGCTTATTTGATAGCAAGAGAACCGAGTGAACATGTGGTAAAAATGTAAAAGAAATAACATAGTGGAGATATTGCTAGAAGATTATGGTAGTAAACCAACATACAAGAAGTTCACAACAATTTCTGGTATATTGTTGTTGCAGTGTCAAATCTACTGTCTTAAGAAGCTTTAAAATAAAAGATAAATAATATATCATAGGGGAAAGTCGCAGATGCAGTTTTCAAGGGTTGCTTCAAATGCACATTTTTCTTATTTCTTCTTTTACTTGCAATATTCCCAGATTAATTTCAGCATAGAGTATGGTGTTTTGCTTTCAAAATTACTTGCTGTTGTATTAGACTTACTCTCTGATATTGCTGGCTGAAATTGTTTAGACTGAGGTGCTTGGAGGATACAAATGCATCATTGCAATGAAGTTAGGCAGCAGGTAACCAAAAAATGGTTGCAGCATTCTAAATCTGCCTTTTTCCCCTACCAAACCCTGATTGATGAGGCTAGATGAAGTCTCTAATTTTTCATTTTTTTAAGGCAAAGAATCTTGTCCATTGGACACCCAACCTCTCTCTCTCTCCCCACCACCTCCATTCCCAGTAGAAGGGCGATCATACATTACATCATATACGGAAAACAAAATTATTGTGAAGGAGTTGACTTTGCTGGTGATTTCTGTTTAAATTATTATTGATTTTCTTCTCCCAATCAGCTGTTTCCAAGGACCTTGTCTTCTTGTTTGGCAACAATTTATCTTTCGGGATCCAACTGTCTGGCTTGTCGTACTGCATTTTTGGAGAGTTTTATTTTGTTTTGACAAAAGCACTAGTCATTTAGGTATATCTAAACTTCAGATGGAGTTCATAGTTTGATTAAGAACGGGAAAACAAAGATTCAACAAAAGATAAAAGCCATGAATCTAAAGAGAAAGCAGGAAAATTTAGACAGTATGTGCTTGTTTAAATGGATTTGATATTATAACATATGAGCTTACAGCATTTTGAGTCACTCTATTTCATATCTGTTTTTCATATTAAGCTATTCTAGGATTATCAAGGAAATTGCTTGTTGGTCTCAGTCTATTGCAGTAGCATTTTATTACCGGAGTCCCATATCATGCTTAATTTTCAAAGGTTAGTAGTGATATCTTGCCAGGGAATTACATAATGCTAATCATTAGGACTCCATTTTGTGCAAAGAATTCAAGTCCTGATTGTCAACATATTTTTTCCTTTTAATGTTGTTTCTTCGATTGGATAGTGAGTTTCTTTGTAGGTGGAGAAATTTGTTGTCAGCATGCATAAACAACTGACTCAACGTTACATCTCAAGAAAACCACCCTCTGAGTTGGCTCCACCTATCCTCTTTTGCAGCCTATTATAGCATAGTTTTCAGTTAGCACATTCATTTGCTATAGGAGTTTATCTTCTGCAAGCTTCTTCTTGATAAGCAAAAGCATGTTACAGAAACCTATGGAAATTTTATGGCTTTCTTTGTTTCTATAATTGCATGTTGTCTGATAGTTGATGCATTACTCAGAAGAGTTTGTGTGGCTATACATTTGTAATTCTTTCTCACAATAAATGAGAGCAGTAGATAGTGTACCTAGTGGAGCATGAGCCTCATCAAAATCGTAAACTTATGACAAAGCAACTGCTTGCTAGAAAAAAAATTCTGGCAAAGAGAGAAAGTTGGTGTTAGGGGATTGGGGGGCGGATGGGTTTTATTTCTTTTGCCATACTCAACTGTTATCTGGATAAGAACTCTCCCATAGCCTTTCTTGGGATCAAAGAGGAAGTAAAAGGAGAGAATAAAGAAAATAGTGCCCAAAGCAGGCAAAAGGAAAAAAAAAGAAGAAGAAACAGACACAGAAGAGATAGTACATAGGACTAATCAGTGTAGTGGTATTCCCAAACTAATTGTCTTCCATAAGTGTACATTCTCACACAGAGCACTCACACAAAGAGAGGTCCACGTTTGAGAACTTTCTTTGTGATAGCCAATTCCTTCACCTGGCATTTATTTGGTTCTCTGTTCATTCAACATTTACTTTTTTCAGAATATCTTTGGTTGTGATGCATTTGGTTATTAATTGCATCTTTAATCATCTGATGCAGATGGTGCCACCGCATATTCCCTATCCAAGCCACTTGCAGGTTAGATGAGAAGGTGGTACACTCTATCGTGTCAAAGCTAGTCAATCAGTTTCTGAAAGATAAAAAGAACAAAGTTGCGCAGCCAGTAAAGGTATGCCCTGAAGTTTATTTTTGTGCAGGTTGATCATTAATTCTGTCGCATGAGCATCTGCAATTTCTAAGATGCTGGGGCCATGGGGAAGGGGGTGGTGGAGTAGGCATATGAATGCCTATGAGAGAGATCTTTCACTTTATGCTGTATAAATGTTTATAGTATGTCTTCATGAAGAACTCAAAGCACTCATGACGTTCCAGTTTGCAGTTGGGTACAATAGAAGAGGAATTGAGGAAACTCAGACGAAGGATGTGAGAGTAACTCCAAATGGTTCCAAAATATCTGTTCTCTTAGACCGTGGCAAATGTTTTAGCATTGTGGCAGCTGCTGTTAAAGATGGTGTTCCAGATTCACTTGTAGATCTGAAATGCTGTGAGGTAACAGCTAAAATACAAACATAAAGAGATGTAATTCCTTTACTTTTCCTGGCTGTTGTAGTTTCATGTGCTAATTCTATCTACCTTTTTGCAGCTTGCTGTGCTGCTTGAGGTTCTGCCACACTCTGGGATTCCTAATGAGTGTGGTGGTTGGTGTGTCAGTTCTTCCACAAATGCTTGTTAGTTCAAAACCACGTCTGTGTCTCAGGGCATTGGTAAAAGGATGCTAAGTCCAACACTGGGAATAGAGGTCAATGATGATAACCTTGCTTGTGATGATAATCTCCACAAGCAAAGCTGAAGTGAGCATTCTGTGTTACTCAGAAAGATGGTGATGTGGTTTGCTACTGCAGAAATTAATGCCATGATGAATCAAAATGTATAGCTACTTGAAGATGGATAGTGCAAACTCCAGCAACTCAAGCTTCCCTGTAAACAGACCATCCCACAGAAACAGAAAAGAGAGTAGCTCTTTTCTTACTAATTGCTCTCAACTGGAAACTCCTGGTGGTTAAACTTGGATATAATCAGGATGCTCTAATATAGCTAACTGTTGCGAGCTATGATAGAAGAATTGAAAAATTAAAAAGTAATCAGCATCACTTGCTCTAAACATCTATTCTAACTAAAATGGTGCTGCAAATCTACCTATAGCACACCAATTTGGGAAAGAAATTCAAGATGTGAAAGCCACTCTACAGTCAAATTTTGGCCACACCAAATAGTACAACTTGTGTCTGAAGTATCAGTAGTGGAACCTTTTTTTCGTATCATATTTTGCCGATATAACCTAAACATGTATGAAAGATCAGCATGAATAAAACAAAGTTCATTACCTTTGCAATAGCAAGTGAGCTTAAGAAATAGCAAGTGAGCTTAAGAACATATTCTAACTCAATTCAGGTGAATCACTGAACAGAAGAGAACCAGCTTAAAAGTTCCTGTCAATACGTACTAGTGAATGTTGATTACTTACAGTAAAAACAGTTCATTGACAGCTCTAACACAACAGATTTATGTGAACAAGTATACAAACTCTGAAAAAGTAAAGTGCGGCTGTAAAACAGAGCAAAGTAAAAGAATCAAAGAAAGGTGATTGGATCATAACCCGGGATAGATGCTAAAATCCAGATCAACTATGAAATGAAGACCAGCAATTCAGCACTACCAAGAAGAATGAAACAAAAAAACTCGCATTCACCAACCTTTCATATATAATCTGCACAGAAGGATTTTGAGAACGTACGCTAAGAGCTGCCTTCTAGAGCATGAAAAAAATCCCTCCTCCTTCATCCGGACTTGGGACCGGCTGTGTGATGTATTGTGTCAACACAGGTGGAGTTAAAAAACTTCATGTCTCTAGTGCCAAGCATGATAAGTCATCTCTTCGCGATCATAGACAAGTCACCTTGGACAATGAATACCCCCTGTGCCATTGAATGCGAGGAAAAATTGACGAATACTCCCACTCAAAAACATGTAGAGCAGGCTGTATCAAATAGCAATAATTGGTTAATTCCCAGTCTTCAGCATGTGTGAGGGATGAAATGTCATCTAGCCTAGTAAAGGGAATTTGTTCGAGCATAACAATTTGATATGAATTCAACACTAATTGGCCCATATGACAATTATATTAAAGAAAGATGGCGTGCTCACAGGAGTTGAGTTAAAAACGTCTAAAAGACTCGTCTCAACTTTCCATCCGCAACCAAGTTTTTTGGTTTAAAATCCCAATATATCTAAAAGTCGAAGGTCCAAGTGAGATCTAGGATTGCTCACCAGAATCAGGGCGTTAACAATGGTAACGACAGTGGTTGGCCTGTACTATAGTTGCGGTGGGGTTCCCCCCATTGTCCCTCGCTGTGTGAGTGCAAGGACTTGGCTGCAGCTTGTTAATAGATTTTGTTTTTCGACTGCAAAGCTGTCCCTCTTGTGGCAATTGCAATCCCAATTCTTTTCAGAATCACCTTTTTTTTTTGTGCTATTTTGTGCTCTTTTTGCACTTATTCATTTTTAGGTCTCCTGAGAATCCAACTGGCTCACTCAGGAGATGTTTGGCATGGGAACCACAGCTGCACCCTCACTTATTATTTGGTATAGCGAGACTCCCGACTTGGCTTACTCTGCAACAACCGAGCAGGGAACCACAACAGATACATGGCACTAACCTGCCCCTGATTGCTTTATCGCCTCATCAACTTATTAAGTATATTAAGATGTCAACTCCAATCACTAGGCGCAGAGTTCAAGTTTTAACTTATACTTCTTCCAGTTTCTAAGCCAAGGTAGAAATGGAAAGAGGCCAATTAGCATTTCATTAACATCAAAAGCTACACCGTCGCATTAACACACAATTACAGGGCTAGTTGTTATACGTGCAAAGGTGTGTGAAGTAGCTTTAGACAGATTCCCAAGTATAGCTAACTTTGATGCCTGAAAGTGGAAGTACCTATCATTTTCACCTCTGGTATTTAGGCACATTTATAGGGAACTCACTTAGACATACTAATAGGAACTCAAGTGATCATCAGTAGCTATTAAAATGTTCACAAACAGTTAAAAAGTTAAGAAGATAGCGTTTATAGGCAGGCTAAATAGGGCAAAAAAGAATCAAGTGCTGTTTAACTAACAAAAGAACAGAAATTTAATTATTGATCGTGTAGAGTATTTATGAGACATTAGAGTGGCAGATTTAAAATTATGCATTACCCTTTTTTTCCTTTTGAAAACAATAACACCTCATGCATAGTTGATAGATACGTGTTAGGTAGAGCTAAGCGAATTTTCTATTTTTGGGGAAAAAAAAGACATTCAATGCCTTTTTTTTCATTTTTAAAATTTTTCTTTTTTAAAAAAAAAAATTCTTTCCCTACTAATAAAAAAGTAAAGGAATAAAGAAACCAAAATCCTTTAGTTTTTTGAATTTTTTTTTGAATTTTTTGTTCTTTACTTGCAAATAAAAAAGTAAAAAGGAAACCATAATCATTTTTCAATTTTTTCTTTTTTTTAAAAAATGCTTTTTCTACTAAAAAAAGTAAACCAAAAAAAAGAAACCAAAATATTTTTGTGCTTTTTTGGATTTTTGGATTTTTTTGGTCTTTTTTGTTTTTGTCAATGTTTTTTGTTCTTTGCTTGCAAATAAAAAAGAAACAAAATCTTTTTTCACTTTTTTTGATTTTTCAAATTTTTTTTAAAATTCTTTTCCTACCAAAGAAAAGTAAATGAAAAAAAAAGAAGCCAAAATATTTTTATGCTTTTTTTGATTTTTTTGTCTTTTTTTTTGTTTTTTCAATGTTTTTTTCAGCAAATAAGATAGGAAAAAAAAAAAGAGGAAACCAAAATCTTTAAAAAATTTTTTTTTTTTGTCTTTTTTATCTTTTCATTGTTTTTTGAAATTTCTAATTCTCTTCCTAGCTACTAACCTAATTACTTAGCTAATAAACAAAAAAACCAGCGAAAGAAATTGAAAATTTCAAACCTGTTGTTGCGTTTTGCCTGCCAAATCCTCAGCAACTCTAGAAAAGGTCCTCAAGTTCAGTTTCACGATCGTATCCACAAAGGCACACGCCTCTTCTTTCGTGTTGGCCTCGGCCGCATCAATTACGCAAGTCTCTATAACCACCGTCTTATAGCTGCCATTGGGGTGTAGGCTCATGATCGAGCGATAGTTCGACAACCGGTGGTTGCCACTAACAATGCTGAACTTGAGTAGATTTATTCCTCACTGCTTTAACAACATTACTGCCTTAATGGTATCAACATTTGACATTCGTTACGGCATTTATGCACAAGTAAGCCTTCAAGACATTAAGGGAGGAAGAGAAGTTGAGTATTCACCAAAAAGCATTCGGTTTGTTAAATCCATAAGCCTCTCAACAAATAATTTAGTTGGCGAGATCCCTGATGGGATAATGGAGCTGGTTCAATTGCATGTTTTGAATCTTTCACAAAATCATTGACTGGAAGGATCCCTGAGAAGATTGGCAACTTGAAGCAACTTGAAACACTTGATCTATCAATGAATGAACTCTTCGGTGCAATCCCTGAAAGCTTATCTCATTGAACTCTCTGAATTTGTCACACAATAAACTTTCAGGGCCAATACCATCCGGAAATCAGCTTCAGACCTTGACCGATCCATCCATCTATGAAGGAAACAATGGACTTTGTGGCAACCCGCTCCCAAACAACAGCTTGGAACACAAATTGTGTTACAATTATTGAGGCAAATAATAAGAGAGGTAAAAGACAAGTGTTTATTTCTTTGTAAAACTGACATTCCTCAAAACATGAGATTACTCTATATATAGAGTTTAAACCAACTCCACTAACTATCTCAATGACTCCATTAACTCCACTAGCAACTCCACTAACTCCACTAGCTACTCCACTAATTCCACTGGATATTCCACTAACTCCACTAATTCCACTAACTCCATAAATAAATATGATTAATTAACAACGGTAAATATTTCTAACAATTCCTCTCTTAAACTAAAAGTTTCTCAAACATTCAGTTTAATAAGACCTATCAACTACGCAGATTCCAAGTAGCTTCCTTAATTTCTGAAACGTGGATAACTTCAATGGCTTGGTCATTATGTCAGCAATCTGATCTTCACTTTTGCAGTAGAGAAAATCAATTATTGCATCCTTTGTGAGCTCCCTTAGAAAGTGAAACCTCACGTCTATGTGCTTGGTTCTTCCATATAGAACTGGATTTTTAGAGAGATTGATGGCAGAACTGTTGTCACAATAAATTGTAGTAGCTCCTTCTTGCTAAAAATGTAACTCTTCAAGAATATTCCTTAGCCAAATTGCTTGACAGGCACAGACTGTTACAGCTACGTACTCTGCTTCAGTTGTTGATAACGTAACAATTGGTTGCTTTTTTGAACGCCATGAAATTGCTGCTGAACCCATCATGAATACATATCCATACGTACTTTTTTTATCATCAGAATCGCCTGCATAGTCACTGTCAGTAAATCCAAACAAATCTGATTTTTCACCATTCTTGTAAAATAATCCATACTCAATGGTTCTCTGTAAGTATCGAAGAATCCTCTTAGCAGCTAGAAGATGTGTCTCTCTTGGACTTTCCATGTATCTACTAATAAGGCTTACAGCATGCATAATATCAGGCCTAGTTGCTGTCAAATACATCAAACTTCCCACAATTTGCTTGTAAAGGGTGCTATCAACCCTCTTCCTCTTGGTTCTTTGATGAGTTTTAAACCCACTTCAACTGGCGTACTAACATAATTACAATTCGACATTTGAAATCTATTCAGAATTTCTTGCACATATTTTCTTTGAGAGACAAAAATTCCATCAGCAGATTGCACCACTTCAATGCCCAAAAAATAATGCATCTTTCCAAGGTCAGACATATCAAATTCGGCCATCATAGATTTCTTGAATTTCTCAAACATGGCACTATCATTTCCAGTAAAAATAAGATCATCAACATATAAGCACACAATCAGCAATTTACCTCCATCTCCAATTTTTATGAAAAGTGTATGCTCATATGGACATTTCTTAAATCCCTCCTTAGAAAAATAAGCATTTATACGACTATACCAAGCACGTGGGGCTTGTTTTAA